TATATATATATATATATATATATATATATATTACTGCACAAACATTGTCCTATTACTTTGGTTTTGCATTTACAAGTTCTCTTTTAAAATTTTACAACTTTTACTTTTTACTTCTGTTGCTACAATAGAACGATTCCCCTAGTCTGAGATCAACAAGTAAAATAATCTAATCTCAGTGTTGAAGTACATGCATAACTAGAAACTACAGTATATGCTCTGGCTGTGCCTTCAATGTGAGCGTGTCGCACCAATGAGTGACAGTCGTAATCACCGGCACGATCTCCAGCCCCAGCATTGTGAGTGTAGATCAGGGATCACAATACAGGTGTATTTAAAGACCAATTAAAACAGATACTGCGTCAAAAACCGGATGTGGGTGAAAGGCTTTCACCTCGGCACACCTCGGCTTTACACGAAAACAAATAAGAACGGACGTAAAGTAGGTTTAGGAACAAAAACCCTGTCTGTGAAGCCACACAAAGGGGCAGAGCTAAAGGAGCAAACCTAGAGCCGTCACTGCTTTTATCCTTCCTGCACACAAGCACATGTGCACACAACACCTTGAGACGATACGTCATTCCTTACAGCGGAGGAACACAGAGCAGCACTTCTCACTGAGTCCCAGCTAATCACTCTGGAGGAAGCTGCTGGGAGGAGGAGGAGGAAGAGGAGGAGGAGGTGAGAGTGAAGATGAAAGGAAGCAAAGTGAGCGTAAGGCTGAGAGGGCATTCCGACGAGCAAGCCCAGACAACCACAGCTTTATTGTGGATTCTGCTGCTGCACAAGATAAAGGAAAAGGAGAAAGTGACGGCATGTGCAAACACGCAAACACTTCACACATTATCACCGTTCTCGAGGAGCACATTCATTCGACACCTTTAATTCCTCTACCCTCACACAACCTCGAAACATAAGCCGAGGCCCCGTACAGTTTTGCACACTGTTGCATTTATCAATGGGAACAAGGCCGCAGATAATATGAACGACGCTGTTCACTTGATACGACGTCTAAAAAAAAAAGACATCACTTGTAACATTTTGTAACAATTTTTGGTGATTCCAATACTGTCCTGCAGTTCTAAAGTTTTGTAAATTCAGTCACTTAAATTAGAACAGAAATCCTATTCACAATCATAAAACTCATACATAATGCAGCCTAAAATATGCACCACATACTGTTTAATATACAGTGGTGCATGCTGGGTTTCACACATAACCTCTTTCACTAAGACTTTGTACAGAAAGTTTAATATAAGTTTCCAGGCTGATGTAATGATATGTCAATAACAGACTCTGTGTGTGAGCGTGTGTGTGTGCAGTCCTTAAAAAGTGCACAAAGACAGAGCTGCCACACAGATGAAGGCGACAGCTAGAACAGCATTTCTAGATACGCTCACATGACAAACTCCAGGTAGAGGATGGAGAAGCGCAGGTGTAAATCACTGTGACACAGATATTGGAACGCCCATCTTCAAACGGCACAAAACCAAATTACCACAGAGAATACACAACACCATCAATGTATAATATGTGGGTTGTAATTCTGGCGACAAAGTTGAACAAGTCATGCATCATTCCCTTTTCTTTCCACTAGAGCAGACACACACAAATAACAAAATGTGTGTGAGTGAGGGGCCAGTGAAGCAGCCAGGCGACGTCCCAGCGGTCTCTTAAGAGGCCTGTGCAGGCACATTAGGTTTGGGCTCGGCTCCAGAGCGGCACTGTGCCATACAGCTGGTCTACTACATGCTGACAAACACACACACACACATCCCAACAATGTATCCTGTACCACTCATAACTGCTTCTTTCACACTCCTTTCTCGTGACGCACACACCTGACCTGAATCTGTAACCTGAGCAACGCTGAGCCACTCTGTTAGTCAGGACAATAAAAACTGCCCCACAGAGCAGATTTCATCCTTTGTTCTGTGGGTTGAATCTTTTTTTTTTCTTCTTTTCCAACTAAACCCAGTGTCTGCATCTGTTTCTTGGTCAAATTTGCCATTTTGTTTTACAGAGAAAGGGGGCAAAAAAAAAAAAAAAGAGAAAGTCAGTGAAACTGACAGAGATCCAGATTGATGGAGAGATGTTAAAGAAAGATACCTGGAGAGATCACGTAGACAATGGTGTTGGCTGCCTGGCTGACCTGTGGGGGTCAGGTGATATTTGGGGCCTGGAGCCATGTGCCCTGATGTCTTTAAGAGGGATGGAAGACAGGCGCGAGAGGGCGGAGCCTCGGACAGACAGGCGCAAACCTAACATCCAATACCTTTGCACTTACACACAGAACAATGTGCACCATCTGTTGGAGTTACCTGTAGTTTTCAAGAATGTTAAGCACAGGCACCAGGAGAGTGTCTTCACAGCCATTCTCTTTGGTTAGACGTTAGCTTCAGAAAGCCTGCACACTTTGTGGAGAGAGGAATGTCTTAAAGTGTGTTCAGCCATGCAGCTCAGCCCAGACTGATGGACACGCAAACCCAGGCCCACACACACAGCCTACACACAGGGAGCTGTGCAAACTCTCAGACATCTAATGAACCAGATCCTCAGTCACCAGGAACCTCCAACCACACAGATCCACAGAGCAACAAAATGTTAACACACTCTGATGGTAAATAAAGATGTGCTTTTAACTTCTGTACTGTAGCATTTACACATTACTAAGAGAAGATTTGTTGTGGGAAGTCAGAACTTCATGCCGGCGTGGACAACTTTGGATTATGGGATTTAAAATACCAGATGTGATTGGTTTGAGTTGTGTAATATTTTTTTTCTCGTCTTTTATCTGAACCAAAAGATAATAAACATATAAAAAGTTACAAATGATAAAACGTAACAACCTCGACCAACACAAAAACACACACCAACTGTGTCTTATTCACCTCACGGCTGTTTATCAGCCAGTGGAGAAAAAAAAACAAAACAAAACAATAGGGATTGTATGCATGTTTTGAGACTTTAAACTTTCACAGATTTCACTCACGTTTGAACAACACCCATCAATTAACATTGTGTTTGTTCAAGAATATCCAGCAGCAGGAAGCAGACAGAAGGATTAGGCTCTTGAGGATCTTGAGGATATACTTTTATAATCTATAGGATCAGAACCAGCATGCTTCAAGAACGGTCGTGTTGGGACTGGTGGAGTAGTTTCTAACTACAGCAACATCCACTGTAATTGGTCGCTAACTGCTTACAAATGCCTTCATGATGTGACAAGATATGGCTCATGTAAATAAACAACCAATAATCTAATAAAAAAATAAAAACAGTAGATGTTTTTTTTTCTTTAAACTTTCTCTTCAGCCAGAAACATTACAGGACAACTACAGCGGCTTTGCGTTGGTCAATTTCTGAGGCACTGCTGCCACCTACCGACAGCTTTTAACATGCAATATTCTGAATTAACAAACAAAAGCTATAGTTAAACTGGGGGATGAATTTAAACACCGAAAACTGAACATACCAGAGTTTTACTGTTTGGTTTGCAAGTGTGTGTGTGTGTGTGTGTCTTACTGAGATCTTCAGCCAGCTGGACCCTGCGTCCTGTAATGAGCTGGGTCTTCTTCTCCATGTCTTCCCCAAAGTCCTCCAGCACCTCCTTGACATTTTTCTCTAACCGGCGCACTGACAGGACAAACATAAAAATGAAGATCAATATCCTTCACAGCAACAACAACAACATATATATATTTTGCCTGCTATAATAAAGCACAACTGTAATGGTTTGATAAACGTTTGAGAAATATTACGTCTCGTCACCTTCAGTGTTGGTCAGCTGCTGCCGTAGAGTGTTGGCTGTTATCACCAGCATCCTCTGGATCCTCCAGAACAGTACCACGTCATTGCACTCCAACTGAATGTGTACAAACATTTTGTAGGAATGATTCACAATGATCAGATGTTTGGCTTGTGGCTTTTATCAAAGTCGTGACAAAGCCTAAGTAGCTCTAATTGCTAATTGCCCAGTATCGATTTGTTTTAATATTTCAAACCAATGAGAAAATTATTTGTATGAACTAAACCCCATAATCCATCAGTTTTGTCCTCTCTCATTACCTCAGAGTCGACAAAGTGTCTCTGGTAGTAGTAAAATCCTCTCTTGCACAGACTACAGTGGGCAAGTGCCTTCTGCAGGAAGTGTCTGCGATACAACTGATGCCACGTATCTTTGATCTGTGTCACAGAAGGAACCAAAAAGAAATATCACAGCTCTGGAATTAGTGGTGGGGAAAAAAAGATATATATTATTTATTAAATTATAAATGCTACACGACCACAACTGTTAGACTCTCTCACCAGTACAGGATCGACCTCCACCCCGCGTCCTTCGAGGTTCTTTCTCACTGTAGTGACCTCATCGTTGGCCAAATATGCCGTGTGCTCATCGTGCAGCTTCAGCAGGCGCTCCAGCTCATTTTTGGTTTCGTTACGAATGTGCTACAAAAGATCAGAGATAAGAAATCAGCACAGTTTCTGTAAAATTCAGATGTTTTTTTATGATGGGCAGGAGTCCTCCTCAAACTCTAACCTGATCTGGTGAGCGATTCTTCCAGTTCATCCACCTCTCTTTCCAGTCCGGCCCCACCATGTCTCTGATCACAGAGTCAGCTACAAGAAATGAGAAAAAATAAAAAATTTAAAAAAAAGTTCCTTACAGGAATATTAGTAGAATACTACTATAATATTAGTAGCTAGATGGTGAAGACATAACAGGTAAAAAAATCAAACTAAATTCATTAAGCGTCGTACTGTCTTTGAGGCGTGACTGCAGAGTTTCATCCATGAACTGAATCGCTGCATCCCACTGAGGCTTGTCAGTGATGGAACGGTCTTCAAGTGCGTTGTGCTGGATGACTCTCTGTCACACACACACACACACACATTTTAGTATAATGACCAATGTAATGTGACACGTTAAATGTAACAGTGTATTAATTCTGAGTTTTTCACGATGACTTTCTGTTTTTTTACCAGGCTGTCCATGGCCCTCTCATTCCACTTGTGTCTTTTAATGCTCTCGTCTTTCACCGCTTCCTTCAGCTTGTCAAAAATGTCGTCCTGGTCTTTGCCTTTGTATTCAGCCATGAAGCGAGCAAACTCCTCCTGCAATGTCTCCCAGGCAATCTGGTGGAGAGGCGAGTGGGACAGAGTGACAACAGAAGGACATTGTCTTATTGAAAACACCTTTGACAAAACAACTTTACAATTTCAATGTTAGGAACAGCAGCAGGTTAACAACATAAAGAAGTGGATTTGATTTGAGAATAAAACTTGATTTGAGAAAAAAATAAATAAAATTTTTAATAATGACCAGTTGTGACAAGTTAAACAAGGTGTTTTACCTCCAGTGCTTTGTGTGGGAGCTGCTTATCAGTCCACTGCTTGAGTTTGATATCCACAGTGGTGTTAAAGGTACCCGAGTCCATTGTCTGGGCAGCAGGCAGGTAGATGTTCTCAATTACATGGGTGGAAACCCGTTCCCACAGTTTCTTCTGGAGGATAGCTTCCCTTCAGGATGAAAAAAAAAAGCAATTACCAAAAAAACAAAACTTGATAAGTGCCATTTTGTTATTGTTTTTCTTTGTATGTTCTATCAAAGCGATATAACACAGACACATGTTAACATCTTTTTTTTTTTTTTAAGGTTTGTGCTGTATTTTTTGTTACAGTTGTAAAATTGATCCAAAAAGCAAAAGTAAACTGAAGGAAAAATTTGGCTTTAGGTTTCAAGCCGAGTTCCCCTAAGTGACCCTGTGGGACTTGAAAACAATGAGTGAGGAGGGATCATCCTTTACTGAGCTACTTTCACTTGTAGTAGTTGGTCCGACTACTCTGGGCTGTGGACTCTGATACAGTCTGTGTTGTCTATGACCCTGTTAGGCACTAAAAGGATCCACACTCTCACTCAGTCTCTGAACGGCAGCGTGACAATGGAACAAAACAGTCCCCGAGTTCCCATGAGACCAGGGCAGTGCTGCTCCGCTCTCATTTATCATAAACGTCCACTCATATTTCATTTAGCTCTTCTTTTGTTCTGGTTCATTGTCAATAGACGTTCCCTCCAATAGAGCTGGCTGGAGGCTGGCTAACAGGGCCACCCCTGTTCCAGAGCGTGGGTAATTCATCAGTGTATTGATCTGAAACAACTGATGGGACGAACACAGGGGACGGCCACACCAGCGTGCATACATCCGATTTTATCAAGGTTTTTTTTTTTTTTTTTTACCCCCTTTCAG